GTTGTGCAAGTGTTGTGCGAGTCTCCCGAGGCAGATGAGGCTCCGTCTCGTCTATGTCCGGGGGTGGTATGCCTAGAACGGCATTCACAGATCTAGAGTCTACATAACTCGAGACTGAGTCCCTGTGAATACCGTTCAGCGCCTGTCGGTAAGCTGTCGGGTCCAGAGGTTGCTTGATGAACCTCTGGACTTCGTCCGTCAGTTCATATAGATGCCTCCTGACGTGCCTAGGCGAGGGCTCCTCTGCAAGCAGCTGTCTGCTTGGGTGGCTACTTCTGTGGCTCCCGATCAGGAACTGCTTGCAGAGCATTATATTGTGCTCCTTTACGGGGAGCATTTGCGCCTCGCCGTGTAGATGGTGTTCGGGCGACATCAGGAGGCATCCTGTCGCTGTCCTGAGTGCGGTGTTCTGTACAGTCTGTAGCTTCGTCCACTGCGTCCTGCTAGTCCTCGGCGACCACACTGGCGCTGCGTAGTTCAAAACCGGCCGGCCTATTGCCTTGTATGTTGCCAGCAACGTTTCTTTGTCTTTGCCCCAAGTACTGCCGGCTAGCGACTTGAGGACCTTGTTGCGGCTCTGTACTTTATTGACAATAGCGGTTGCGTGCGCAGATAAGGGGAGCAGGCTGTCGAATGTTACTCCGAGTATTTTAGGGTTATTCACCGTCGGAATTGGTGTGTCATCGACGTGAATCCCCAGCGGTAGCCTGACCTCCTTCGTCCAGCTTGTGAACAGGGTCGCGGAGGATTTCGTAGGGGAGAGGGCTAGACACTTTGCAGTGAAGAAGCGAAAAAGTTCGGAGAGATACCCGTTTACTTTCCAACACAGGTCATCAATTCCATTCCCAGTCGCCATGATCGAGCAATCGTCGGCATAAGAGACAATCGAGACTCCATCTGGTGGTTGAGGGAGCTTTGAAATGTAAAAGTTAAACAGTAGCGGGGAAAGGACACCACCCTGTGGAACCCCCTGTTTTATTTTTCTCTGTTTACTCGTTTTGTCTCTAAACATTACCGACGAATGTCGACCACTCAAATAATTTGCCGACCACCGTTTGAGCCTCTGTGGGAGAGAGGAGGCCCCTATATCTTCTAGTAGCGTGGAATGGCAGACGGTGTCAAACGCCTTTGACAAGTCCAACGCTACTAGAATCGTTCTCTCACAGGGACGGTTTCGGTTAAGGCCACTAGTTATCTGAGTGTTTATGGCGTTAAGTGCTGTTGTACTGTGCACTTTACGGAAACCATGCTGATGCTTCGCTGGGGTCAGGTGATTTGTGAAGTACGGGAGTAGCAAGGCCTCGAGTGTCTTCGCTACCGGGGAAAGGAGTGTTATCGGACGATAAGAATCTCCTTAGTTGGCAGCTTTCCCCGGTTTGAGCAGTGGGACCACTCTCCCCACCTTCCAGATGTCTGGGATGATGAGAGTGGCCATAGACAAGTTGAGGACCTCCGTTAGGTACGCTACCCCCGCAGGACCCAAATTTTTCAGCATCAGCATGCATATTCCGTCGGGACCCATGGCTTTGGAGGCTTTCGCCTTCCCGATGATCACCTGAACTTCACCGCAAGTGAAAGCAAGGGGGCACAGGTTGTTGGCAGTTTGTGCAGCCTTCTGGTCACTCCACGCTTGGCTTTGTTCACCGGAGGATGCAGTATGAACTGCTGGCTAAAATAGCTCGCGCATCGCTCCGGGTCCGACGAAGCATGGTCGCCGAAGGAAATTTCGACTCTGTCGTCGTGCTTCGTCGGATTGGACAGCGACCTCACGGATGACCAAAGCTTGCTCACACCAGAGGTGAAGTTACAGGTCTTCAGATGCTCCTCCCACTTCTTCCGCTTATGTACGTTTACTAGTTGCCGAATCTCCGCGTTGAGATCCCTGATACGGGGATCTCCGGGACCGGCCTGACGAAGGCTATCACGCTCATCCGCTAGAACAGCCGCTTCGGCAGGGAAGTTTGGACGTGGGTCCGATATACATCCTGCCGGTATGAAGCGAGCTGCAGCAGCAGTGATAGACCTGCGGAACTTACGTTCACCGAGATGGACGTCGGTTGGTGTGGGGAGCGCTGCGAAGGTGTTTTCGGTAAACTCCGCGTAACCTTTCCAATCAGCTTTAGAAAAGTTGATATAGGTCCGGTGTTTGGCGGAGGCAAAGTCGGTTGGTTTATCTATCGAGATGACTATGGGTAGATGGTGTGATGCTAGAGTCAGCATAGGTCGCCACGTTATGCTGTTTATCAGACCAGCGCTGACTATTGTGATGTCTGGCGAGCTACTGCAGTTACCCATAATCCTGGTGGGTGCGTCGTCGTTCATTGTGCAGAATGTCGAATCGTCTATCTGCTCAGCCAAGTCTGTTCCCCTACGATCGTTTGACAGGCTTGAGTGCCAAAGATCGTGGTGCGCATTAAAGTCACCTACTACCATACGGTTTTCACCTCTGAGGAGCGCACCTATGTATATCAGGGTGATATCCTGCCGGGCAGCAGGTGACGGGGTATGTATATGTTAAATATTTCGAGCTCAACATCGCCTGACCGGATAGCGATGCCCTGACATTCTAGGGTGGTATCCCTGCGGTCGATGTCTGCTTCGGTAAGACGATACTGCACGGTGTGGTGCGTGATGAACGCTAAGCCACCACCATTATCTTGCTCGCGATCTAGACGGTGCACGTTGTACCCGGCGCAATTCAACAAAGTTAAATTGCTGTGCAACTTCGTCTCTTGGACCGCAGCTATCAATATACCATGCCGACACATGAAGGCGGTTATCTCCTCAATCTTGCTCTGTAGCCCGTTACAGTTAAATTGAAGGAGCTTCATGTGGTTCGGCAGACGTGTCGTGATGTGGGGTGTAAGTGATGTGTGTGTTCTTACCGCCGTTGGCTGTGTGCGCTGCTGTGATGGTTGCCGCCCTGTTGCGGTGACGGGAGGCGTCGCAGTTGGGGTTTGCGACCGAGCAGCGCAAAACCGGCCCTCGAAGTTCCCAGTCCAATCTCGCGTGGTACGCAGACCTGAGCATGCCCTAAAGTGGCACCGGCCAAGGCAGGTGTTGCACTTGACTGATGTCACATTACGGAATATCCTGGTCTGACATACCGTGCAGATTGTAGGGGGGACCAGGAGTTGTTGGCAGCGGCGTGTGGGTGGTGGTGCGGTTGTGTGGGTTATGTGGTCTGCCGTGGCTGTGGTATGGTCTGTGGTGTTATTATGTTGTTGTGTTGTGGTGACTGTGTGAGGCTGCTCGGGTGGACTGAGGTTGGCCGTGGAGGCTGCTCTGTTTGAGCAACAGGGGGCCACGTACGACGTGGTCCACTGTCGATATGTCCGTAGTCCTGAACAGACTCTGAGGTGACTCCACCCCTCGCAGGCATTACACTTGACTGAGGTGGAGTTGTGGTGTAGTCGTCTCCGGCATACACAGCAGGTGTAGATTTCTGGCCCAGGGTTTGACTCGATGCCAGCCCTGAGTAGAAGAATACGTAGTGAATGTAGCCCTATGGACAAAAATTTTTTAAGATACTTCGCCGACCTAAACGGGGTTAGATCGCCGAAACAACAGCCCTTGGTCGGGTAAAACCCGAGTCATTCCGGTACGTAGAACCGGCTGTCGAACCTTCGTCTCATTGGGTGAATGGCCGCACCTCTAACGGTTAGAGTCTAACCGCTACCATGGTTATTATGACATATGGGTGTTTCCGTGATATCGCACGGGACATTCGTACGACTTTAGAGTTGAAAAAAATCATACGAAAACGGAAGTCACTTATAAAAAAATTGCCGTTGTGTCGGTGACAAAAAATTTTGTACTGACAAATTTACACTTTTTCATATATTTTTCTGTAGTAAAATCTGTGACAAGAATTTTTCACTGATGCAGAATAGAGCCGTAAGCAAAACTCTGCGTACACTGTGAGGTTTTCCTTTCTTAAACATTCTTTAAATAAGGTCTAATTACGGACCATTTCAACCAACTCATATATAATCAGAAGCAATTCGTTGTGGTTTTATTTTGAATTAAAATATGTAAACGGTGGTTAATTTTTTATTTAATTTTTTTTAGTTCTCCGCCGTTTCGCGTTTTCATAACCTTTTTTCGCCATCTGAATACAGAAATTAAGGTTATAAAGTCGTTTGAACCCATTTGCTTGCATTTTTGGTTTACATTTTCATGGAAACACCCATATGAAATATAATCAGAATAAAATATAACTGTTTTTTAAGATGTCTTGCGGATTTGGGCGAACTTTTTTTTTTTTTAGTTACCTATTTAAATGTTGAAAAGCTATATCTGTTAAAAAAATTTAGAAATAAAAACTTTTGTACTTAAATTTCTTTCACTTGCTAGCTTTTTTTAAACTCATTATCAGGGAACGAAAATAACAGCTATTTTTTAAACAGTTAAACTTGACCAAATATTTTTTAAGGCCGCAATAAAAGTTATTTCCTAATAATAAACAAACCGTTTATCCAAATCAGACAAGTTTGGTATCAAATGAAAGAGGAGTAAAATGGCTTTAAAAGTGAAATGTATAAACGAGGAAAGCCAGCTATTTAAAAATATTTCAATACAAAATTTTAGTTAATTACCATAGCACAAACCTTGGGTCAGGTATTTGAATTTCTTTTGTATTGAATTAAAACAATATATATAAGTAGAGGTGGTATTTACTTCTGTTTCAGTCCTCTTTCATTTGATACCAAATTTTTTTAATTTGGATAAGCGGTTTGTTTATTATCCGGAAAGGACTTTTATTTCGGACTTAAAAAATATTTGGCTAAGTTTAACTGTTAAAAAATAATTGTTATTTTTTTGGGTCCCTGCTGATTATTTTATGCAAAAAATATGCCGTTCTCGTTTAGAATGCGGGAGGTTAAGTTTAGGCACAGTTTTGGAAATTGAAGACAGACAGACTTAGTTCTCAACTTCCCCCAAGCCATTCTGAAGCCTAAATGTTTATTGAATTCTTATATTGATTATATGTATTTCAGATATACATTGAAAATCGGTTAAAAGGCACTTGGGATTGGATGTACTCAATTATGGATGGAACAGAACCACAGCTGAAATTTGGTGCCTATTTGGCCAATTTTACGGATCCCTCGCATCCGCTTCATCCTCTCAATCTAAATGCCCAAAATAGTTCTAGCCAAACCAATTCTTCATCAGCGGGGATCAATATGATTGGTACTTATAATAAGAGTAAATTAATCAAAAGATAAACACATATTGTTAAATTATTTCTTAGGTTCATCGACTCGACGAGACTTTTTTACATATTGTTTATCTTTGATGCGAGCGCATACCTCGGAACATCGTGATGCTTTACCTGTCCTGGATATAACAGCATTTCGTCACATAGCTTACGTATTTGATGGATTTATTTACTATATGCGTAATAACACAAGTTTTTATGAAAAGGTTGACCAATGTTCAAATATCAATATTCCAAATACAAATGAAAATGAGGATATCGATGACGAGTTTTCTAACGTAACAAATGAAGAAATATTTGTTGAGAGTAACTCATCTACTGCCACGGCTGTACCTTTATCAGCGACAACCCGTCGACATTCCTTCTTTGTTCGATCTGAATCAACTATAAGCCTTGGTTGTTTGGCCCCGGAGAGCTTCGACTTACCATTGGATGTTGCTATACCTCTAGCAGATAAGCCACATCTTCTTCAACCAAATTCAAAGCGGGAGGATTTATTTGCAAATATACCTTTGCTGTCTTCGACGGTAGAAAATTTAACTACGGTCGGCAATTTGACTGCAGCTCCAACAAAACTGGGATTTTCAAGTTACAGGTCCATAAACACAA